AGGTGTCGTGTGCTTTGTGTTTGCAGTTTACCGACTTTCAGTTTGAAATCAGAAATTAGAATATGAATAACATCAGGCACAACTATTTACAGGAATGTATAATTTCTACCTTTGGATGATACTCACTAACCCTAACCCTAAGCAAAATCTTATGTAACACTATTAAGACTTACCAGAATTAAATTTCAAAACCATTCATCAAACTATCATCAATATTTACAGGATCTGTACAAATTCAAAACACACAAATAATGAAAAAGCCTTTTTTACTGGTAGCACTAGTGTGACCAACTGTCTCATTTTGTTGCACCTCCCACCTGGTCAAAGGCAAAACATATGACCTGATGAACATTTTCTTATCGATAGACACCACGATTTACTGATGCTCCCTAAACGCCCCACATAGCAGGCTGTGGTAGACACTGCTGGTGGCTGTGGTGTGTTCTGACAGGTGTGCGACCAAAAATGACCTTAAAAATAATAAACTCGGGCGTTCTCATGTCAGATTTGTCCAAGGTTAAACCGAGTTACATGTATTCTACACAGTCTTTTCTATGAGCAGAAAAACAGCGAATCCAAGTGCACTCTGTTTTTCACGAGAGAAGACCTCATTTTTAAGCGTAAATACTGCATTACACCAAAGTTATAAAAGTACTACTTTCCACCACTGTGGTTAACACAGCAGCTTCCTGTGCCGGTTACAGCGACACTAAGACAGCTTCATGATCATCATTCTCAATTCACACACTCTCAATAAAAAAGGTCGCAAATGCCACCACTTTGGTCGCAGTCAGGAGCCCTGCCATTTGAACAAAAATTGTCTCTTCTCTCTTTTATGCTCAGCAAACTTCCTTATTACTTTTTGGTTGAAGTCACTCATCTCTGTGGCCAGCCTTTTCTCCACTGGCAACATGGCCAGTGCATTAAGCCATCACAACAGCTGTCATCTAGTAGAAGAGCGAGAGGAAAGGCCGTGTGACGCTGTCAGAAAGCGCAGTCGTAAGAAGGTCAAAGGACAGTTTTGATATCCAACCACAGAAGAAAAAACAAATCGAGACAAAATTAACTGGCTTATAGCAAAAGTGAACAGGTCTGGGACGCACCAAGCTGCGCCTTGTGAGAAAATCTGCAGCTGCCAATCAGAGCCCAGGCCAAGGTCACATGATCACGGTCACAAGTTTGTCAAGCTACGTTCACACTCATTTGGCTGGCGCCTGCATCCAGGACATGTAAAATTAGTAAACATGCAGTAAAGACAAATTTTATATCTGTTAATAATACAAAGAATATGAACATCATCATTCATTTTATTATTTTGTAATAATTAATTCAAATTTAATATTGTGTTTGAGAACTATTTTTTATCTGGTCATTAGTAGTGGGGCGGTGCCCCTGCACCCTGTATTGATCAGCCACCACTGGTTTTAGGTGTCATTTGTGAACCCGGAAGTTGTAGCTATAGTGTCAATTTGCCAAATGTTAAATATAAACACCCTGATTTAAATTTAATTTAAAATGCATGCAGCTTATGTATACTTAACAGTAAGTACTAAACCCAATGAGCATGAAATACAATGTAAACTCAAACATCTGAAACACAGGATCTTTTCAGAATATGCTAGGTTGCATCACAGACGCTCCATCCAAGTTTCTGTCACAAGTTTTATTTTTACAAACAAGCTGCATCAACAAACTGTGCATAACTTTGCAGTGCAGAATTCCCCAGAAACATAAACTCCTCTAGTACATTTTTATTTGCTTTTCCCATCCCTATCAGTCACCTAAGTACCTGACCAACTCCAGTCTATCATACAAGTGTTTCTGACAACTAAGTATTTGAAGAGTTGCCATAGAACTCAAGCATAGACTTGACTGTAGTCTTGGTCTTTTCCTTGGCACCTGTTACATTCATTTTGCGCAGTTTAACATCCTTGTCTAGTTTAAACACCTTGGACAGATTGTCAGCTTTTTGGGCCTTGTTATTGAATAGTGGTGTGTTTATCTGATTCTCCTTCACTGAGGGGGTGATGGTAGCAGCTGGGTCCTGGTATGGCTTCTTATGTTTTGATGATGATCTTGATGAAGTCTTGAGGGACTTCTTCTTTGAAAAGGACAATCTTGTGACTCCCATAACCTTCAGTTTAATTGGGGCTTCAGATATCCCTGCCATGTTCCGTGCCTGGCAGCGATATTCACCGGCATCCTTGTATGATAAACCATTCAGGCTGATTATTGACCAGCGAACTCCAACTCGAGGAGATTCCTGCAGAACTGGAATGTAAAAAGGTGTACAATCTTAGTTCTCAGCACCTTATACCAGATTTTTCCCTTTTAGTATAACATAGTGTTTTACACAGGCAATCTCACAGACTCCTAATTTGTAACCTAAGCCAAACCTTCGATATGGATTGTTAAAGCTGGGCTAGGTAGTATTTTTTGCTATTTTTTTCCCCAAAAACCTGACTTCTGCATCTCTTCCTGGCTGTTTTCAGGCCTAAAAAATGTAGCTGGTGACAGGAGACTGTCAAGTCACAAGGATTTTCACAAAGTACAGGTAACAACAAAGTAAAGGATGGGAGGAGGGCATGGTTTGTAGATGGGTAGTTAAACAGAGGACTTTCACTTGAAAGTGTAGAGAGCAGGTGGTTTGAGTCCCGTGTGAGTCTAAAGATGAATAGTTCCTTCTAGCATGAAAGTTGTTGCAAGTGTGATGTGCGCGCTTGCTGTGGTGGGACGGGCTTAGAACAGAATGGGAAGAGCTGCAGGACAGCATTTTCAAATTCTGGAAATTTTCTTTCCTTATTTATCGATTTGTTTGCCTTTTTTAGATTTCTGCCTACTGCAGCTTTAATGTGGTTATGATTATAAACACCTTGCTGAGCAAAGGTGCTTAGAGAGGTATTTTGCCCTGAATAAAAACAAAAAGGGGAAAAAGGTAGAAAGAAAATGTGAATATGAATCCCATATACTATTAAAAAAGGTTTCTTGAAAGAAACATAAAACCACTTACAGCTCTCCAAAATCCTGGGTAACTCTTCTGAGTTCTCAAGGATGTCTTGTTGACAACAATCTGGACAGAAAATCAAATCATAGCATGATAATACTCAGATTTTAATAACATAATTTCAACACCGAGAGTGCCCCTGGATTACTTACCAGTGTAGGCTGCAGTTTTTATCCACGTCAGCGTTGGTGTTGGGTAGCCAGTGGCATCACAGCGAAGGATTACGTTGCTGCCCAGTGGAGAGATAACCCTGGTGGCTGCAGGCTGGACTGAGGGCCTCATACAGCGGGACAACTCAGCCTGGGTCAGCAGCATTCCCAACTGACCCAGAGACCTGCTGCACATCAGCAACTTGTCCACAAGAACTACTGGACTTCCCAGCGACATGGACAAGGACATCAGCATGGAGATTTGGCAGTCACACAACCAGGGGTTGTCATGGAGACCTAAGCATCCAGGACAATTTGACTTGTTTATATCAATGTCATATTTGATATGTTTTAGAAACTGGTGGAGAGAGGGGGTGGAAAGGGGGTTCGCTCAGCATGTGAATGCTGTATACTGTAGGTGACAAATATGTGCACACAATGTTGTACATCAGAACCACGCTGACAAACAGGAAAAAAGTGGCACAGAAAGCCTAGCATTATGTGGGCACTGTTGTAATTATGGCTCAAAACTTCTTAACTCAAAACTAAAATATAAAGACGAGCACTGCTGCAGTGGGTTTTTCATGAGCAGGCTATTAAAATAGAGGGAAAAAAATAGTCAGCAATGTTGATGTCAGCCATTTACAAAAACTACTTGAAACCAGTCACCTTCTATGCTTTACTTACCTTATCATAAACCTGAATTCAAGCGTTCAATTGGATAAGTACATGTATGTGGCATATAGCTAGACTAGTTATAGTAAGACAATGAATGTTAAAAGATACAGCCTGAGTATCTTAGCTGACATGAGTAGGTAAACCAGTCTACAAGCAGCTTTCTAACATCATAAAAGCTTTATTTGTATGATATGAATGTTATTAGTCTATTGGACATTTTCTTAACTAATTAATCATTAACATGTCTTTAGGTGCAGCAGACCAGATTTATACTTGGACTGCTTCTCTGCTGTAAATCACTCAGAGCTCACATCGAAATTAAATTCTTCTAAAACAGTAACATGTGTTGGCTTAGCCTAGTTCTGCCGTCTGGCAAAAATAAAAAAATTTAAATCAGAGTCAGTCGGCTGTATTAGAAGTCCATTAGGCACAGTCGGTGGCGACTTTTTTTTCACTAACATGGCATGTCCTTTTGATAACGATCCCGTGGATGAAGGTGCAGCATTACTGCACAGACAATTAAATATTCATCCAGACTGATAAATGAAATAAATGAATAGGCTACCATTCAAGCAGTTTTCCCTGTCATATTATTGTGACTGCAAAGGACGACATTTAAACTTACGCATTGACCCGAGCAGCAAAGTTCTCGCATCCCGTTTCCCTCTGTGTTGCAGCGGTGTTGCACTTCTTTTTAAAAACGTGTTTAAACTCTCCCTATGAGCACATTAGGATTTCTAATTCTGGTGGGGTGAAAAAGGCAGCCCTCCGCTTCCCCGTTGCCATGGTGACTCGTCGAATCGGGGCTCCATTGATGCTGGCTTTTTATAGTTACTTTATAGTAACTCGAGGTGAAACTACTTCGAGTTGATTAAACTAACTCAAATCAGCTGTTGTGGAACCAGAAACTCAGAGTTTCCTATCTCAGAGTAGATCAACTCAGAGTTCAGGATTAGACTCAGAGTTTGTTGAACCCGCTTTGTGAAACGGACCCCAGATAGCTACTCTAGATTGCAGGTTTACTTGTGATTTCAGAGTTTCCAGAAGTAGAATGGGAGGCAGAGCCTTCAGTTATCAGACTTCTCTGTTGTGGAATCAGCTCCCAGTTTCGGTTTGTGAGGCACACACCCTCTCTACTTTAAGATTTGGATTAAAACTTTCCTCTTTGATAAAGCTCATAGTTAGGGCTGCTCAGGATTCCCTGAACTCAGTTATGCTGCTACAGCTTTAGACTGCCGGGGGATTCCAATGATGTACTGAGCTCCTCTCCTCTCCTCTCTCTTCCTTCCATACAGTTACAACCACCAAAACGTATCACTAGCTCTGTGTTTCCCCTGAGGTCTTGCGCTTGTTCTCTCTGCGGACGTCTCTGGATCTGGAGCTTCACATATATGATCTGCAGCTGTTGGCCTCACTGGCCCTCCAAAATATTCATACTTATATTTATTGTTCTGTTCTATTGCTGCTCTCCATCTGCTGTCTTGTTTTCCCCACGTCCTCATCCCCACTCTTACCCAACCGGTCGAGGCAGATGGCCTCCTTCCCTGAGGATGGTTCTGTCTGAGGTTTTTTTCCCCTCTCTTGGGGGGAGGGGTTTGGGTCCTTCCCACTGTTGTCAACCGCTTGCTCAGAGGGAGTCCAAAGGCAACTTTGGATTATTGGGTTCTCTGTTTAAATTTGTAAGGTCAACACCTCACTATGTTAAACTGTGCTACACAAATAAAATTGAATTGCATTTAATTTAATTAACTTTGTTCAATCAAACCAAGGTGATTTTGACAGCAATAGAAGATGACAGGATTGCTCCAGAATATACTGTACCCAAAATTCGTCTCTGTACTTGTCCTCCTTGTTGTCCTGGAAGAGGAAACCAAAGGTCCAACAGCTCACCAGGTAATATAGTCAGCCTGAGGAGAGAAGTGGAGACTTCTACTACTGACAACTCTGTAGCCTTTACATGAATGAACTACTGTACATGTAAAAACTGGACCCACCTGTTGCTAGACAGGTCAAGGTAGGTGATATTGGGGAGAAAGAGAGAAGCATGGGCAGGAAGGTTGGACAAACGGTTGTTGTGGAGACCCAAAGTCTGGAGGAGGGGCATGTCTCTGAGCCCCTCCCAGGGGAAAGATGTCAAGAGATTCCCATCAAGACGTAGCTCTCGTATGGCCTTTAGGTTGACAAAGCTGCTTGGGTGGATTGATGTTATTGAGTTGTAGTTCAGCCATAAGAATCGCAGCTCTGAAAGGTTATAGAATGCTGCCCGGGGCACCTTGGTGATCAGTGTCTTCTCCAGTCGGAGTTTGACTGTGTCAGCTGGGACATTAATGGGAACAGCTGAGATTCCAGGGTTACTACACTGCACCAGCCTGCCACATTAAACAGAATTAAAGTGGTTAAATACACAAACACACTTTTTATGAGCACAGTATTTCACTCTTAATGATTGTGCTCTTCTTTTAAAAAGATGACACAAATGCATTTAGTGCAAATGCTTAAACATCAATTTGTTTGTCAGGTGAAACAGATTTGTATGGAAAGTGGAATGCGCCATGGAAGTGAATATACTGTTTCTCAGTGGTTATAAAGAACAAAATAATTATAGCCTCTACGAGGAGTTTCATTTTATGCACTGAGCTCTCCATCTTCTTCAAGGTTCATGGTTCAAGGTAATCGTTAATATTCCTGAGGGGCGGTTTGTCTTGCAGTCAGCAGTACACCACAGTGGTACACTATTTCACCACACTCTAAAGTCCCACAACAGTCAAAAAAATGTTCATCTAACCACTATTTTTGGCTAGTTAAGGCAATAAAGGTCCATGTTTCACTGCAATCCCCTGACTGAATTACTTTAGATTGGCTTGTGGGCATAGGTTGCAGGTATAAGCCTGCCACTGATCATTCTATTTTGCCCACTAACATGGGACCTGAGCTCCCAGTGCACCAGACCGACACAGAGCCATCCACTAAAACTAATTCACCAACATAAAAAAATAACAAAATGAATAAATAGTCCTAATAAATATTTCTGTTTAGAATTTGGTAAATAAATCAAATTATGAAAATAATAATTAACTATTTAATTAATTAGCTAATAATGCCCAAAGGAAATATTTATAATAGTGTTTGCAATTTACTTACTTTGATTTACATTTTATGCATAGTTTTTTTTAATCAGTCAGTGCACCGTTCTGCTGTACAGTATTTACGATAGCGCGCTTCATCAGCAAGAAGCATCTTGAGAAAGTAAACGTGCATTTATCATGGGAACTTTTCATCCAAAATATGGGATTTTATATGACAAAATGTATGATTGTCAGTTTTGATACTGTTTGCAAGCTTGTGGGTTATTCCATCTCAAATCATCAGGGACCTTCTGCTTGACTATCTCAGAATCAGAATCGCCAGAATCAGAATCATCTTTAATGGCCAAGTACGTACACAACATACAAGGAATTTGATTTCGGCTGTTGGTGTTGCCCTAGGAATTTGCGGGAATAATAGAAATAGGAAACTTTTTTTTTTAATTAAATAAAATAAAGTAAAAATAACTACAGAAAGAAAAGAATAAAATACAATAAATATTAATAAAAAATAAAACAAGATAATAAGACAAATATATACAAGAATTTACACATCCAAGCAGAAAAGGTATATGCACATTTGTGCAAAATAGAAGTGCAAATAGCAGTTGTGGCTTGGAGTGGCTCAGTAGCGTTATGGCAGTGGGATAAAAACTGTTTTTGTGTCTGGTGGTTTTAGTCTGCAGGACTCTGTATCGCCTTCCAGAGGGGAGGAGGGACAACAGTTCTTGACCAGGACAAGTGGGGTCTGTGGTGATGTTCCCTGCCCTCTTCCTGGTTCTATTGTAGTACAGTTCCTAGATGGAGGGCAGGGTGGCTCTATGATCTTCTCAGCTGTTCTGACTGTACGCTGCAGCCTGTTTCTGTCCTGCAGTGTGGCTGCTCCAGACCACACAGTGACAGAGCTGCACAGGACAGCTTCGATGACGGCGGTGTAGAACTGAATCAACAGCTCCTGTGGCAGGCCGTGTCTCCTCAGCTGTCGCAGGAAGTACATCCTCTGCTGAGCCTTTTTGAGGATGCAGTGGATGTTCTTCTCCCACTTCAGGTCCTGGGTGACTGTTGTCCCCAGGAGCTTGAAGGACTCTACAGCTGACACAGGGCTGCTGCTGAGGAGGGAGAGTTTGGTGGAGAGGATTCCAGGGATGATGGTGTTGAAAGCCGAGCTGAAGTCCATGAACAGGATCCTTACGTAACTCCCAGGGCCCTCTAGATGTTGCAGGATGTAGTGCAGCCCCAGATTGACTGGATCATCCGCTGACCTGTTTGCCCGATAGGCAAACTGCAGGGGGTCCAGCAGAGGACCTACTATGGACCTCAGCACCAGTCTGTCCAACGACTTCATGACCACAGATGTCAGAGCCACTGGTCTGTAGTCGTTCAGTCCTGTGATGGAGGATTTCTTGGGAACCAGTATGACTGTGGAACGTCTGAAGGTAGAGGGGACTTCACATTGCTCCAGGGACCTGTTCAAGGTCCTGGTGCAGACTGGAGCCAGCTGGTCAGCACAGGCTTTCAGACAGGAGGGGGACACTCCGTCTGGGCCTGGAGCTTTCCTGATGTTCTGCCTCTGGAAGAGGCAGCTCACTTCCTCTTCACGCACTGTGAGTGTGACGGGGGCAGTTTGGGGTGCAGTCTGAGGTGTGACAGCGGTTGTTGGTGTGGTTGTGTTGTGGGTGAGAGGTGGGCTGTGGAGGGGGAGGGGTGTGAATGTGTCCCTCTCAAACCGGCAGTAGAAGGAGTTGAGGTTGTTGGCCAGGTCTCTGTTAGCCTCAGCAGGGGGGGATGGTCTCCTGTAGCTGGTGACGTGTTGAAGGCGTCTCCACACTGAAGCAGGTCCGTTAGCTGAGAACCAGTTCTTCAGCTTCTCAGAGTAGCTCCTCTTAGCCACTTCTTAAACAGGTCTCTGTCCCCACTCCTGTAAGCCTCCTCCTTGGCATGGCGGAGCTGTCTCAGATTGGTGGTGAACCATGGCTTGTTGTTATTGAAGGTCCTGAAGGTTCTGGTTGGCACACACGCGTCCTCACAGAAACGGATGTAAGCAGTCACAATGTCTATCAGTTCTTCCAGATTGTTGTTGGCAGCTTCAAAAACACTCCAGTCTGTACAGCCAGAACAGGCTTGTAGTTCCTGCTTTGCCTCGGTGGTCCATTTCCTCACAGTTCTGACAACAGGCTTTGCAGATTTGAGTTTCTGCCTGTATGTGAGGATGAGGTGGACCATACAGTGGTCAGAGTGTCCTAGAGCCGCCGGGAAACAGAGTGTTCCTTTAATAATAACGGTGTAGCAGTGGTTCAGTGTGTTGCTGTCTCTGGTGGGACAGCCAATGTGCTGATTGTATTTTGGCAGTTCTTGGTTCAACCTCGCTCTGTTAAAGTCCCCCATGACAATAAAAAGCGAGTCCGGATGTTTCTGTTCAAAGCCGTTTAATTGTTCAGCGAGAGTTTGCAGCACTTTGTTCACATTGGCCTGGGGGGTGGCCTCCCACCATGATGAAGGAGGAAAACTCCCACGGCCAATGAAATGGCTTACAGTTGATGAAAAATGACTCCAGATTTGGGCTGCAGTGTCTAGACAGGACTGCGACAGATGTGCACCAACCTTCATTAATGTAGAAGCATATTCCGATAGCATATTGATTTCCCCGATAGCTCCCTGACGCGGTCCGCACGGTGGAGAGAGAAGCCGGACAGGTGAAGTCCGGCATCAGGTACGGCGTCACTGAGCCAGGTTTCAGTGAAGCAAAGGGCCGCCGAGCGAGCGAAGTCCTTATTGGATCCGTTCAGGGAGCGGAGGTTCGCCGGGTGGATGGATGGGAGCGGTGTTCGGAGGCCGCGCTTACAGCTTTTAACGAGCACGCCGGCCCGCTTGCCCCGTCTGCGTCTCCTCCACATCCCGTACAGAGCTGCTGCCCCTCCGACTAAAATCTCAATAAAACTCTTATACTTATACCAAAAACACCAGGTGCCGGAGGAGATATATTTATATCAAAACATAATGTTAATTCACTTACCAAAAAATGCAAAGAAGAAGCAAGCTTTAACAAGCTCAAACACAGTTTTCAGACTCCTTCGGTTCAGCTTCAGTTGAGACGTTCTTCGTGAGACCAAGGGGCGGAGTTGAGTTCCACTGGTAGAGTCTTGGTCGGGTTTAGAGTTCAGAGTGAAAAGTTCAGAGTTGATGTTACAACAATAACACGCCGATTTGATCGAAAGACACTCGGCTTTGACACTCCATTTTGACACCAACTCTTTGTCAACTCAGAGTAAAATATATGGGGTTTGACTCTATCAAGAGTAAAATTAACTCTACTCAAATTTCACCAACACCCAAAATTGAACTCTTTTCAATTTGCTGTGTAGTATTGGACAAGTATATCAAATAGCCTTTGATAATAGGTGAGTTGAAAATGAAAAAAAAATTGACAAGTCCTACCTTTGAGCACACATTAACAAAAACTAAATAATACAGAACTCAGCTGTTGATATATTAATCATTGCCCTTCCGTCTGTGGTGATAAAATGTTTTGAAAGACTGTCAGAAATTTCATCACCTCCTCCCTCCCTGCCTCCCTGGACCCCCTCAGTTCGCATAACAGAAGGGCAAAACAGATCCACAGACAATGCCATAAATCACCTGCTACACACAGCCCTGGCCCACCTGGGCACTAGGAAGGGGAATTATGTGCAAATGCTGTTCGTGGACTTCAGTTCAGCATTCAACACCATAATCCCCTCCAGACTGGTCACTAAGCTGCAGGACCTCGGACTCATCGCCTCCCTGTGCAGGTGGGTCTGCAGCTTTTTGACCAGCAGATCACAGTTGGTTTGAGAGGGAAATCACCTGTCCCCCTCACGCACCCTGAACATCGATGCCCCCAGGGCTGTGTGCTGAGCCCTCTGCTGTACTCACTGTACACCAATGACTGCCTGTCCACATCAGACTCTAACACCATCATTAAGTTTGCTGATAACAAACTGGTGGGTCTGATATCCAACAACAACGAGGAGGACTACTTGATGGAGATCACCCACCTGGAGGACTGGTGCAGAGACAACAGCCTCCTTCTGAATGTCAACAAGACCAAAGAGCTGATTGTAGACTACAACAAGAAGCAGCAGAGGGCACACCACCCATTCAGGACCAGCAGGACAGAGGTGGAGCAAGTGGAGAGCTTCAAGTACCTGGGTGTTAACATCAGCAGGACCTGACATGGTCCTGTCACATCAACACCCTGGTGAAGAAGGCTCGACAGCATCTCTACCTCCTCAGATGCCTGAGGGACTTTAAGCTCCCTCTCAAGGTGCTCAGGAACTTTTACACCTGCACTATTGACAGTGTTCTGGCTGGGAGTATCACCACCTGGATGGGCAGCAGCACCCAGCAGGACTTCTTGTCCCTGAGGAGGGTGGTCCACTCAGCTGAGCGCACCATCAGAACCACCCTCCCGAACCTACAGGACATTTACACCAAGTGATGCAGGTTAAAGGCAGGAAGGTTGCCAGTGAGCCCACCCACCCCAGCCACAGACTGTTCTCTCTGCTGCTGTCAGGGTGGCGTTATCGCTGCCTGAAGGCAAACACAGAGAGGATTAGGAGGAGCTTCTTCCCTCAGGCTGTCCACCTGCTGAACCTGAAACAATAGACAAACCGGTCACTTTGTGCTTTGTATATATACATGTATATAGTATTATTATTTTCTTTATTTATT